AATCCACACTGGCATCAACTAAAACTTAATTATTCTTTGCCTATCGGAAAAATGACTTTCCATCTCATCCTTCAATTTGGCTTTCAAAACTCTCAAAGGAGGAATGAATGACTTAGCCTTCCCCGTATCAGCTAAACTCACCTCAAAGCCAACTTCTCCATATCAACAACTAATGAAGTCAAAATAAATTGGCCTTATTCTCCTAGGACTGGAATCTCACCTCGAGAACTCGACCAATTTCTTCCATCTCTTTATCCTCAGGCTCACTATGACTAATGAAAACTCTATGTTTCATTAATGGAGATAAGTCATAAGTGAGCAGCTTCCTCCTTTGGCAACTCATTCAGAACATGAAATATGTTAGCTTTAGCTTCCTAGACCTAGTTAGTCTTGACAATATCTCACATGGAATATGACAAATAAATAAATAAATAATGAAGTTATATGAAAGTCCAAATACAAGTATTTATTTAGTATAAATTAAAAACTTAAATTTTAAAATACAACTTAGGTGATAATTCACTCTCCTTGGTCTGACCAAGAAATATGACTGCATTGATGTATTTAAATCTCTAATCTCTTAGATTCATGAACAAAGTTCTTCTTTGTCAGATAAGTGGAGTGATGACAACTTGCTCTCATAATGATGTTCAACTAGGTCTTTCTTGGCCATTCAAGGGTCAATTTCACAAAGAAATACTCCATTTTTCAATTATTACTTTGTCTTTAGACCAACTATTTTATTGTATTAGGAGGAAAAAAGAATGATAACTTCTTGAAGGACTTTATGGTGAACATGAATCACAACAGGTCCAAACTCCATGCTTTCTACTTGTGCAGAAAATAATGAAAGAAATCATTCTCGCAAATGAATTCAACACAACTGTGTTGGGACCAAGCCGTAAAAGGTTTAGAATCTCAGCTACCTCAAAGAAGAAAGGAAGACACAAGCCAAGTTGGAAATGATCCATGAAGAAGAATAATCCTTAGCAACATGAATAGAGAAGTTGTCCTCAAATTCGAACTCTCGTTAGAGCAATATCAAATCAAATTATGTTACTTGGCAAGCAAAGTTACAATCTACAATAGCAAAGTTCTCAAAGCTCCTGAAAAGTTCCTTAGCTATAAGAAAAGAAGCAATAAAGAATAAAGAAAAGCCTTACAACATGAATAGTAGAATAAAGAGTGCAAAGGAAAAGATGAAGAAGGAAAATATATAAAGGAAAAGTTTTAGAAGTATGAACATTGCAAGTCGCATCCAAAAACTATCATTTTGGTTATCCGTACTGTCAAGTCAAAAGATCTTCTCAGAAATATAGTAATTCAATTACATAGAGATTTAAAATGACATATGAAGATACTAGCGACACATCCAAAGTTAATTTAGTAAAATCGCTAATATTCTATATAATCATCTTAAATTCAATAAAAGAATCGAGTTCCCAAAAAATTAGAATAACATAATAAAGATAAGCACAATATATATGAATTAAAAACAGCTTTATTATTGCAAAGGAACTGTTACAGAAATAAAATAAAGAATTTTTTTTCAAATGGAAAGTTACACATCTTGTGAAAAAATTCAACTTTTATCAGAGGAAAAATAAGATCAAGTTTAGGGGATGATGACTTGACAAAGCTCCCTAATTCATCACACAATTATAATGCAACTCCTCCAAGAAAAACTTGGAGAACAAGATCTAGGGCGACTTCTCTGGGCGAAGTTCCACAACTAATCAAGTGTCATGATAAGACCTCGCCACCTCCAATGAATGACTCATTTAAGGGGATGCCACAAATTTTCTCAATAAAACAATTGCATCCTTCAAATCATTTACTGCCCAGTGAATAACTAAGACAACTTCACTAGATAGATCTAAACGACTAAACAAGGCAATGAATTTCTCAACCAAACTGCCAAGTCAAAGCTTCACAACTTCACCAAAAATTCAAGTTCAATGACTCATTCAATAGCTTTTTGTCTTTTCAAGCTCAATGCCAACTTGAATGGTCAGTAGAATCTCCTTCATGCATTCAGAATCCTAAGTAGCTTTTTAAAGCTACGCATTGGCGTTTGACATCAATAACTCCACACCTGGTGACTTGATTAATGGGCTACACACCTCAAAATTTCCATTCATATTTTAAACTTTGTCCCTTGCAAATGGTAATGCATGGGTGACTTTCTCCTTGCTTGTAAACTAGCTCACTAATGAAGGATTCTTAGCAACATACTTTTTTCAAACAACAATTGTGACTTTCACATATCAATTCCCCCGTTCATAAAAGATCTTAAGATGTCAACAACCTGCTAGTAAGCAAGAACATTGCTCGGCATAATTTTGCAACTAGTATCACTAAGAAGTTTCTTTTATAGCTCCACCAAGAAGACACGGGAAAAGAAGAATCACAATTTATCTCCTTTTTAAGAAATTGTTTGAAGAAGACCTAATAATTTGACTTCCATAACATTTTTATCTTCAACAATTTCTTCTATATGCTCATCTCCAATTTCTTCAGTTTGTTCAACCTAGCTATTTTTCAAAGGAAATAAAAAGATAATTCAAAAACAAGCAGTAGCTTTATGCTTCTCTAGAATTTGAAAAGTCTCCAACAACATTTCATAGATTTGTTTGTTGTTTTGCCTCTTAATTTTCTTCAAATCTCAAAGACAAGAAAATAGAGTAGAGAATAATGAAAGATCTCTAAAGAAGGTCTAGAAATTCCTACAGTACTTAAACTATCTATTTATCAGTCATATATCAAATCGGAAAAAGCAGAAAGGAATAAGCAAATTCATACCATCCAGATCGAATTGGACTTATGAGATTCATTATCATGTTTATCTAGGTCTTACACTAAGAGAGTAAGAGATACAATATTTGGAAAACTAATGTACACCTATGATGCACAGACACGGACACGGCAGCATGGATACAACGCGAGACTGACACAGAATACGTCAATTATTAAAAATATATGACAAGGACACGGATTGGGCATATTATTATAATTTTTATATTTTAAAAGTAGTGTATAAAAATTGAATTAGTATAATATTAAAAATAATTTAGAAATAATTAGTCATTTAACTAGAATTTATACTTAAAATGATTAATATTAGGATATCAAGGGTCGGACGTCGATGCCGTGTATCAGGCATCGAGAGAGGAAACAACAATACAGCATTGTCGAGAGTCGGGCATCTATGTTATGCAATAGTATCAAGTGTCGATGTCAAAAGGACGCTTGTCGTCAATATTGAGAGGGCATTGGTCGTAGATGTTAAGATGATGTCAGACAAAAATGAGATGTCAAGTAGTGGGTATAGAAATTGCTAGTATCGAGCATCAATGTCAAGACAATGTCAGACTTTGATATTAGGATGCTTTTGAAATGTTAATATTATAACGACATCAGACGTCGATGTTGAGATGACATCGAGTATTATTGTGAAACCAAAGTCGTGACATGCCAAAGAGAAATGTTAATTTTATTTTTTAAATACAAGAAATTATATTTAATTTTTTTTTATAAAATATTTGAGACATATGTCCAATTTGTACTAAATATTTTTTTAATCGGACATGTTTTTGGCATGTCAAACGTGTGTCGTGTTAGATATGTGTTGAACACTGCATAGCTTTTTGAGGAGAAGTATCGGTGCATCATAGATGCACACCTAATGTTGCATGAGTTGGGTTAATCAAGTCATGGCATTATTAAAAACCAGATTTAGTCAAGCCGCCAAGCACTTGAACCAATTTGCTAATAACTTTAAGGTCGTCCAAGAAAGAATTTAATTAAAGTCACCAAAATCAACTCGCCAAAAAGTTGAAATTGCCAGAAAAAATGATATTCATTGATGAACTCGGTAATTAAGGTAAACAAGACAACTCGTTCACTAAAAAAGAACTTGCTAATAAACTCATCATTGATCTCATCAACTAGATCTTGGTGTGCAACTCTCTAGAGACTTCACCGAAAGAAACACTTTCTCAAATTATCTCACTCTCAACATTAGAACACTTTAAGAGTTTAGTTAGAAAGACTTAAACAATTTTACAACAAGTATTGCTAAATTGTGTCCTCTAATTTTGATTGTATTACTCAAATTTTGTTTTTTGAGTAGCATTAAACCTTGGCAAAGACCTATAAAAAAAAAAAAAGGAAGTTCAAAGGATGAGTTTGGCACATGCAAGTAGATTAAGTTAAATTCAGACACATTATAATTGACCCAAGTCACATCAGCTTGCACTTTGTGACAAATACCTAGTAAAATCTCAGAGTTCATCTCTATCGTTATTTCTTTCCCCCTCTCTTTATTAATAACAATTATTTTGTGCAGACGTCGGACGCAGCTCTACGTTCGGATGCGAAGATACCGAGCGGTGGTACCGTCGGCGATACCGAGCCGCAGTACAGTAAAAGGGTGATGTGGCGCATTCTGATTGCTCTCCGGACAGTATTCGGCACCCGCACAGAATATTTTCTTCCTTTATTAGACTACCATACTTATTAGTAAGATTCTGATATTTCCCATGGACAAATTTGGATCAAACATCCAAACCTACAATGAAATTTTCCACCATTTCCCTAGCACTAGTTCGATAAGCATGCTTGACTGTAGGCTGATAATTGGTTGGCTGGCTCATCAGCCGCACGGCAGAATAAGAATAACATAAATCATGTGATTCTATTTACTTCAAACCACATTGAATCCTTCTTAATTAAACTAACTCCTATCACGAGAAAAGATCTCCTCTACTTTATTACAAGTAAAAAATCTGCCACCTACCAATCACGTTCAGATAGACAACATCCCATTATCAAATGACAACTACTTATCATTAATGGATAACATAACCTTAGCAAAAGTAGCTAACTACTCGCATCCACAATGCCCATCTTTTTCATAATAAATTGGTAGACGATTTCAACAAACACGAAATGAACGATTGAGTAAGCCAAATTAATATCATGTTTAGAACGATCCGTACCTTCAACTTTATCTCGTGGACACTTTTCAGCAGGCCCTCGACTTTAAGAACAAAAGAGGTAGGGAGTACGCCTGTATCCTTTAAGATGACGGCGGCAGCGTTGGTAACGGCCATAAAATGGTGGAGGAGAACGAGAAAGCGTGGTAAAATCCTGCTTCCGATCAATTAGCTAACACTCGATGTCGATGAACAGGAAGATCGCCGACACCAGAGGTATCCTGTAGATGAGAGGAGGCCAACGATCGGCAAGGCAAAGATGGCAATGGCAACGTTAGCAGTTCCCGGCGGCAGGATGATAAAGAAAGCCGGGATTTTTGCCCGCGCCGGGTTTTATGGAGAAGATCGGAAGAGACCTTAGAGGATATTTTTGCTAAAACAAATTGTATGGAATAAAATATTATATATACGTTAAATTTATAAAAAAAAATCATTAAAATAATTAAAATATTAAAAGAATTTCATTTTAAAATGATTTTCTTACATTTAAAGTATATTTGTTTATAGCTTAAGTTAAGACGAATAAGGTAAATTGATATTTGTGATTTAGGTCTTCTATTGGTGAAAAAATAAGTTGTTCTAAGCTAAGATAAGTTGAAAAAATTATTATTGGTTTAAAACTCACCTAATGTTTTATATGTTTGAAACGAATAAGAAAGTAGAAAATCAACAAAAAATAAATGACATCATAATTTAATCTGAAAAACTCAAAATCGAAAAAAAAAAAAGACTAAGGAGCCATACCATACTAAGAAATCAACAATGAAAATGATGAGAAATAAGTACACTTCTATCTTATCTCTCGCTCTCTTCTTACTTTTATTGTCTCTTACATTGTTCTCTCTTCAAAAACACAAGAGAAAGTCCAAGTAAATAACACCAAGAGACGCCACCCTTTAAAAAACAAGAAAAAATTTGTCCTATCTGCCTTGTAATGCTGAGGCTCCAATTTGGAGCATTGCGCCTCTGATCTCGACCAGTATGGTAATGCTGCGGCGCTCAAACCTGTAGAAATGCAGCACTGCGGCATCGAATCTAAAGCGTCGTGGCGCTATGTTCTTTGTCGTTTCTCCTAGCAAATTTTGCAACACCGGGGCGCTTGAGAACTTGTGTGTGTGTGTGTGTTGCAGGCTAGAATATACGCGGCGATAGAGTTAGAACACTACGTCTTAGCGTTGCACAGATATATAACTCACATATAGAGAACAGAAGATTTTTATGTGGAAAGCCTTAGAAAAAGGGAAACACCACGGGGCCTCGCCCAGTTAAAAATGATTCCACTAGAACTTAAGTTTTGGTTACAATGGGCTGACTCACCTCTAAGGGCGATCAGATTAGAAGTATCAATTGTATGACATAAATTTGAATGTCAGGTGATAGTTCGATAGAACTTCGTGCCTCAGGTGGTGATTTGGCAGAACTCTGGGCGTCAAGTGGTGGCCTAAGAGAGCACAGGGCATTAGGTGGTTATCCGGCTGAGCATAGGGCGTCTGATGGTTGTTCGGCGAAGGCGAGGACCTCAAGTGGTGGTCTGGCGAAGGTGAGAGCCTCAGGTGATGGTCCGACGAAGGCGAGGGCCTAAAGTGGTGGTTCAGAGAAGGTGAGGGCCTCAAGTGGTGGTCCGGCGAAGGTGAGGGCCTCATGTGGTGGTCCGGCGAATGCGAGGGCCTCAAGTGGTGGTCCGGAGAAAGTGAGGGCCTCAGGTGGTGGTCCGACAAAACTCTGACGATGGTCCGGCGAAACTCATGCGGTGGTTGAGGAGGAGCTTCTTCCTTCTCTTCTTCTCTTCTTGCTTGGGTCCCTTTTCAAGAGAACTGAGGGGTCTATTTATAGATTTCTGGAGTGGCATGGCCCGTAAAAAGGTGAAAAATCAAGGATAAATGGGGAGTGGTTGGATGTACGGTTGATGTTGAATCCCTTAATCATGGACTGTTTGATGTACATTTGAATGTCTTAGTGATGTCGGTTTTTGGTGATCTTGGGCTCGTTGGATTTGTCTCGTCGAGCCGCTCGATTTGATTATAAGAAAGTTATGTTTAGAAACCGTTTAGTAATTCAAATTGTGGTTCGAACCTTCCAACAACGCTTTTAACTATTGATTTGGACCTGTTTGGGCTCGGATTGGGTTGGATTTGGTGTCGTTGGGTTCGTATTCTTGAGACGCTCATTTCAACTATAAGTTTGCTTAAATTGGAGTTCGTATGGTCTCAATTTTAATTTTGGAATTTTCAAACTTGATTTTGCATCGAGATTCGTGCCCGATCAAGATAATTTTTTTGAATGACAAGATATATAGTGATTTTTGGCATTTGGATATGATTATACTATTAATGCAAGTAGTGCAAATAAATACGGGCATATGAATAGGTAATAGCTCGTCATTATTACTTTTACAAATATTAATGCGTGCAAAAAATAAGAAAGGCTAATTTATTACTGAGGTTAGCTTGAGACTATTTTATATTTGTACAGGATGGTGGGGCGAAGGACTTTCCTTTAAATATTATTGTTTGTGGTGAATTCCTCTACTGATTCATAAGATTTACTGATTATGAATTATAAGAAGTAATTATTGTGTCAATGGGCAAGAGTGATGACATTGATTACTGAAAGCCATATGAATATTGAACTAGAATACTAACTAAATAAATGTCGCACAAGCCAGAATTCCTTACTTGTTTAGTATGACTGCTTTGATATGCATATAAGGCACTAGTTTGTTGTTATTGATTCATACGATTTCCTTATTGTTTGGATAATTTTGCTATGACGATTGATTTAAGAATAATGGTTTATAGTTGTACTATTTCGATATCCATAATGTATTGTTTTACATGTTTTACTATTATTGTAGTTTCTGCATACATTCATAATCATATTAATTGCAATTGTTATGAACTGAATAATTTCATGAATACTATTTTTTTCATGCTTCGAGTTCAATATAGGGATCTAGTGACATGCTAAGCTTTATAAGCTCAATATATATGATTTAGTAATTCCAGGTTAAAAAAAGATATTCAAGAGTGTAAGGCTGATTAGATATAGGATTCTTCAAGTTTCACTATCATTTGTCTTTTATTTATTCTTTTGAGCTTAGGAGTGGGCATATAGTATATTGTATTTGTATGAATTCTAGCTCGTTTATATCTTTTCTGGGTAATGAACTTAGATGTATATTGATTTTTTTATCAATAGATTTATTTCTTCAGGTACTTTATTATGGTTAAATAACTATGATTGTCATTATTAAAAGATAAAATATACAAATCTTTTCAAATTAGATGTTGAGGCATGACACAAACACATACACACACAAATATATATACGCACACAAATATAGAACATATTATGCCCAATAATGATTAAGCTATATTTTCTTTAGTGGCAATCTTGTAAGACCTTTTATTATACTTCAGATTAGCCATACCTTGCATTTTTATATCGACCAAACTCATGATTTAATTGTGATTATGAAGGTATACATGATTATCTTATATGTATAGGATTATAAGCTCATGCCTCATTTGGATTGAGTGATGTACTTTATTGGTATGTTTAATTCTGGTCTTAGACCTAGGTTTGAGCATAGAATCTTCTTTATGATGTTGTAGTTCTCATCGATGGACAATATTCTCTCTTTGTAAAATATAAAACCCATAAATCGTCATATTCCATAATGCCCCCCTCTACTTGTTAAGTTACTATGCATAATATGTGTTATCTCGCCTATCTCCTTTGCTCCAACTCTACAAGCTAATATATTTGATTGCACTCTCACTATGCATGATGATTAGCCTCTGGTGAAGCCTCTATTATTGGATAGAAAACTCATTCAAAAAGGAAGCCAATAAAAGGATTTTCAATAATCATTTAAAGAAAATTGAATTTAAATGGCTTGAAACTTGGAAGTCCGGAGATGTGGGCAAAGGGAGGCAATCCAACTATTGTCCATATCATTGGATGATTGGCCATGCATAAAAGATTTTGTAACCTTCAAAGAATGGCTTGAAAGAAACATCAAAGATGGATCAATTATAAAACCCAAGGAGTATTTTTCTAAATCTAGTCAATGATCTGCTAAATGCATGATTGATAAGCCTTCTGTGTCAATTTTAAATTCAAAACTTGATGATGATTTTGATATAACTTTATCCCAATCTTCTAAGAAAATTCTAAATAAAATTTATCATAAAACATTTTACACAATCACAAAGGAAAATAAACGGGCACCTTTATTTATACTTTTCTTCGACATTCCATCTACAATAATATTAACAATGTGGGGTTGCACGAATAAAAATTTTGACTGCCCATATTAAAACTAACACAATTTAACATCATACATTCGGTTTTGTACTGCTTGGTTAGTATATATTCCTTTCTTTCCAACCTTCATAATTACACTCTTTTATGCCTAACGATGATTTGATTTCCAGTTAATCCAAAACATTTTGGATGAAATTGGATCTCATGACATTCAATAAAGTAGTTAAATGTTTAGTTTGTCTCTCCGGACATTGCTCATTTGGTTGCCAAATCACCTAAAATCTTGACTTCTTGCCTTGAGCTTTCTTTTTCCTCACGAGGCTTAACCTTATCCAAGTGCTTATTTTTCTTCACGAAATACTTTTAGAGAGGAAGAAATAAATAAAGATTGGCCAACAACTATTGAGCCACATCACTCTTTTCCTTATTATCAAAAGGACGATGATAACAACAATAACATCAAATCTTTGTCCTACTACGTGTGATCAGTAACATGATTTTTTTTTCGTCAATGTGTCATGTTAGAGTCAAACTATTATTTAAATCTAATAAAGAAATATCATTTCTAATATTTTTTAATCAAATTTTTTTAGGTCTATCTGTACCTTTCTTAATATAAGTCAAATCTAATACTTCAACTTTACTAACCGGGTTATTGGAAGGCCTCCATTTAATGTGACCAAACCATCTAAGACGACTCTCTCTAATCTTATCTTTCAGTGGAGCTACTCCAACCTTTTCACATATATGCTCATTTCATATCTTATTTCTAAGGGTAAAGCCACTCATCCACCTAAGCATGCTCATCTCTGCAACATTTAACTTAGTATTAAGCTTCTTTTTTAACATCAAAAGGCCGTTGAATAAAAAAAAAATCAACACTTGAGAAGAATAGGATTTCCTTCAATTGGCATAGCGCTTCTCAATTTTTTATGCTTTGATTTGTCTGTCATAATTTTTTTATTATTTTTTGAAACTTTTTTTATTACTGCTTCTTAAAACAATTTTTTATTTAAAAACTAAATATATGTTTTTTTTTTATTTTTTAACAAAACTTTTTAATAATTTTTTTTAAATAATAAAAAAATATTTATTAAAAACTAAAATATGATCCATTAATTAACACTTCAATAAGATGAAAAATTACATCCAATCATTCATATTACAAAAATAGTGCCCAAACTAACATTTTAGAGAAAAAATCTCAAATCATTGAACGGATAAGGTATTACCATTACATATCATTAAATCTGAAGACCTTTTTTTTGGCATGATTTCAAGCTGTAAAGCATTTTCCATTTCAAAAATAGTCGTATTGGCTACAAAACTTATCACATTTCTATTTCACGACAAAATTAAAAATTTTGGTCCCCTATGGAACAAAACTTAGTAATATTTCACCTTATATTACAGATTTACCCCTAAAATTAATGTACAATTCCCACTATAAATATACCCGAGCCCATTACAAGTTACAACTACCACAGACGCGTATATCCAACCCCACCCTTCTCCTTCTTCCTTTCATCAACAGATAGATTGCATTAAATCGAACCAACTTCCAATGTACTACTACAGCATCACACCTAGCTTTCGGCTTGCGAGGTCGCATCGAACCGGGGCGAACCCGACCCGATTGTTCTGGAGATCGTACTCGACCCAAACATTTTGTTGGTGGTGGTGGCCTATGACGTACGCTTCCATGGGCACCAAATCCGAATTACCAAACGTGAAGCACCATACACCCTCGTTATTTCCCCTCCTCTCCCCTTCCACGTGGTACAACAATCGCTCGCCGTCGACCGCCACTTCCGCCCCTTGGAATCCCAACACCACCGCCGGGATACGCCGTACTGCCGCAGCCGCAGCCACGGCCGTCGCCCTGAAGCACATATCGAACGCCCCCTGAAACACATACCCTGGCTCCGGCGTCAGAACGCCCTTGGTCTGTCTCAAAAACTCATCTTTTAAGATTTCATAAGCCTGACCTAGCAGGAAGCTGAACTGAGTGCCGGAATCCACCATGGTCTGTCCGGCGCCGGTGTGGTCTGGGAGAAGAACTGATTTGGGGATTGGAAGGGTTTTAGCTCCGACGCGTATGGTTTCTAATTGGACGGAGTAGGCGACGCGATCGAAGTATGGGAGTGGGAGGGAGATTTGGACGAGCGGAGTGTAATTGAGATGGAGGAGGTTGGCGGTTCCGAGGAGGAGAACACCGGCATCGCGGTCGGAGATGCAATAGGAGAAGCGAGGGGTGTTGGTCTGAGCGATGAAGGAAAGAGCACCACGGTTCATTCCAAGCATGCCGGCTGCCGTCGTATCACCAGCGGCGGCAGAGAAGGCGGAGGACATGCAACCAAAGGCCGTGCGGCGAGCGGGCTGGCTGCCGACGAGGAAGAGGTCGGAGACGAGCGTGCCCTCGGCAGTGGAGGCATCGGCGTAGCTAAGAGAGACGTGACAGTTGTGTGTGGCGGAGTCGCAGGTGCTTAGATTGGGAAGGTCTCTCGTTTGGGACTTGCAGGTTGGGGAGGAACAGGGGATGGGGGTGTAAGAGGAGGAAGCCGTCGGGCGGAACTTGGAAAGTGGTCCGTTGTCACAGAGAAGCCATGAGAGCTCGCTTCCAGTGTCGAGAACCATGGTGACGTTCTGTGGAGGGGTGCCTACGGCGAGGGTGACGGTGAGGCTTACGTTTCGGTGGAACCGGAGCTTGTTGGGCGGCTGAGGGATCGACAAAGATTGCAGCTTTCGGGTTCGAAGAGGTAAAGCCAAGCCTCCCGCCTCTGTTTCATAGGATTGGAGCTGTAGGATAACAATGACCGCAACAAGAAGTGGAAAGAGCCCTGGAGCAGAGGAAGGAGAAAATGCCATTATTCGCGATTGAAGAGAGAGAAATGAGGGTGTGGTCGTATAAATAGCAGAAGCAAGGGTAAAATGACGACAAAATGATGTGAAATGAAATGATTAGCGGGTGTTAGGATTTAGGTCTATAACGATGGGAGTGAAAAGAAGAGAAGCGCGTCGAAGTGCAGTTAGAACTTAAAAGTGAGCTGCCTCTTTGCTTTTCTTTTCCGTGAATGCACGATGTAAATTGGTATATTAAAATTTTTATCTCTAATAATCTATCTATTACGATTAATAATTTTATGTAAATAAAAAACATATAAAATACCTTCTATTAAAGTTGTTGCATCCTGAAATATTCACGGTGCTAGAAAAATATACATAATTTAATGTCTTAGCGTTGTACAAAGATCTAGCACACAAGTAGATAAGAGAGACGGTGTAGCGTTCATAAGAGACACCAGAGTTTTTATATGGAAACCCCTGAAAAGGGGGAAAAATCAGGGGACCTGGCCCAATGTGAATGAATTCACTAGTATTTGCATTCGATTACAAATGAGGCCCTTCCTTAGGAGAAGGTCTTGACTTGATGTCACAAACGTACATCATATAGAGCACATTACATGGTGAGAGTTACATATACATGTTTGTTTGATCGACAGGACCATAGTCGATGGGATAGAGGTCGGAAAGACCGTAGTTGGCAGGAGACCAGGTCAGAAAGACCATTGTATGACGATGTAGGTCGAAAGAGGCGTAATATGCAGGAGACCGAGGTTAGAAAGACCGTTGTAGTAGGGCTTTACTCTGGTAGAAGTATGGGCATCATGTGGTGTCTTGACAGAACTTTGGCCCTCATGTGATTGTCTAGTAGAAGTCCAGGCCTCGGGTGGTTGTCCGGCAAAAGTTTGGGGGTCAAATGGTGGTCCGGTCGAAGTTCGGGACTCAGGTGGTGGTCCAGCGGATCAACGACGTCAAGTGGTGGTCCGGAAGAGCAACGACGGCAGGTGATGGTATGGCGAAAATATGGGCCTTAGGTGGTGGCCTGGTGGAACACAGGGCCTCAAGTGGTGGCCTCGTGGAGCACAGGGTTTCAAGTGGTGGTCCAGCGGAGCAACGACGTCAGACGGTGGTTCGGCGGAAGTCTGGGCCTCAGGTGGTGACCTGGTGGAGTACATGGCCTCAAGTGGTGGCGTTTGATGGACATTTGAATGTCTTAGTGATGTCAGAATTTAGTGATCTTAGGCTTGTTGGATTCATCTCATCAAGCTGCTCGATTCAACTATAAGCACTTCATGTTTGGAAACCATTTGGTAATCCAAATTGTGGTTCATATCCTCCAACAACGCTTTGGACTCTTGATTTGGACTTATTTGGGCTCAGATTGAGTCGAATTTGGTGTCGTTGAGTTTTTATTTCTGAGACGTTGAGTTTGACTGTAAGTTTGCTGAAATCGGAGTTTGAATGGTCCCAATTTTAATTTCGAAAGTTTCCAACTTGATTTTGCATAGAGATTCGTGGCCGTTCAAGATAAATTTTTTGAGGACGTATCAAAAGTATCCTTATACAGGGTTAATTTCTTATGCTTAGACCAGCACTCAATTTTAAGATATAATTTACTATTTTTTAGATATGAATTATTTTTATTTGTTATGGATAATTTTATTTTAGACAAAATTTTATTTATTTATTTTAGGTATTAAGATTTGCATATTTGTAGTAGACCAATCATTTAAGAAATCAAGATAAATTTGATTATAAATCAATTAAAATTGTTTTGACTTTAATTTGGTTGAAAGTTGGTTCAAATAGAATTTGAACTCGGTTCAAATTCAATTCAAACAGAATGTGAATTATATTACCTCAACTAAGGTTTTGTTTGGGACGGCTTTCTTATTGCTTTTTAAAGCAACTTCTTAGTATCAAAATTAAAATTTTTGTACTAGGAAGCTGCTTTAAGAAGCGGAAAAAAAGCCGTCCCAAACGAAGCCTAAGACTACTTCATTTAGGACGGCTTTTTTATTGCTTCTTAAAACGAAATTCTATTTAATTTTTATACTAAACTCCGTTTTAAGAAGCAATGACATTGCAAACGAAGCCTAAATCTTCCTAAATTTGGTTTTAAAAAAAAATAGAATTGAGTGTTAGTCTTAGTCGCTTGTTAATGGTTCAATTTTTAGTAAGATATTTGGATGAAATCTCATCTTTAGTATTTGAGTAGAGCTTGATGACACCAATGAAATGGAGAATAAAGTCGAATGAGTCATTGATCAACATTCATAGGGATAACTCAAGTATTTGAAGGATAAAATATTTTTGATGAGAAGTTTAAAGGATTAGGTACCCACCGCCATGGATTTTATCAGATTCGTAATTACAGGTGCACAACACAGGTGTAACGGGGAGAAGGAAGACAAGGCATTTGGTGGAGGAAAATGGTGATGGTGGCGAGTGCAAATTTGAAGGTAATGACAGTGCTAGCATAAAGAATAAGGAGTTCTCATCCTCCTTCTTGAGTGGTTAGTGACAGAGCAACTTTGTAAAGGATCATATCAAAACAATAATACTAAAATAATACTGAGGCAGCATGTAATTGAGTTGGTGCATTTTGATCCTAGTTCAAATTTGATTCAAATTAGGTTCGAATTAATTTTGAATCTATATATGTGATACGTCATCACAAAATTATCTTGATTGGGCACGAATCTCGAGGCAAAATCAGTTAGGAAACTTCAAAAATTAAATTCGAGAGCATATTAACTCCGATTTCAGAGAGCTTATAGTCAAACTGAGCGTCTCGGAAATATGAATCCAACGACACCAAATTCGACCCAATCCGAGCCCAAATGAGTTCGAATCAAGGGCTCAAAGCGCTGTTGGAAGGTTCAAACCGCAATTTGAGTTACCAAACGGTCTCCGATTATGACGAGCTTATACTCGAATCGAACGGCTTGACGAGAAGAATCCAACGAGCCCAAGATCGCCGAATTCCGACATCATTAAGGTATTCAAATGCCCAGCAAACGGTGCATGATCAAAGGATTCGATATCGACCGTCAATTCAAAACACTCCTAATTCGCCCATGATCTCACGCTTATTTACGGGCTATGCCACTCCAGAAAAACTATAAATAGAGCCCTCATTCTACACCAAAGGGACTCAAGTGAAGAGAGAAAAGGGGAAAAGGCAATTCCTCTCCTCCTTGACCACCGTCGGAGCTCTTCCTGCCGCCTGAATGCGCCGGGACTCTGCCGGATTTTTGGGAAACGCTAAGAATTTGCAGAACTTTGTAACTTTGTGAGAAGTTGATTGTAAATTGATCGTCTTGATTTGTAAGACGGATCAACCTTTGTACTTCAAACAAATACTAGTGGATTTTTGCAACTGGGCGAGGCCCCGTGGTTTTTTCCCTCTTTCGGGTTTTCCACGTAAAAACCTTGGTGTTTACTTCTCTTTTATGCTTGTGTGTTAAATTTACGTGCAACGCTCGGACGCGAATCTACAAATTATACCGCTGTGTATTTTCTAACACACAACAATATGATTGGACATAAGAAAGTTATTAAAAAAATTAATTTCGAATCAATTTCAACACATTAATTTATTTATATAATAATCTAAGTTTTTAAATAATTTATCGAAACTATAAATATTCAAAATTTAGACTTCGCTTGGACGGTTTTCTTACTACTTTATGAAGCAACTTTTTAGCATAATAATTTTTTGAATTAGAAACTTTGTATTACAAAGTACATAGTTTTAGAATGTAATAAGAAAGTTACCCCAAACGAAATCTTAAGCTTCGTTCCAAACGTCTTTCTTACTGCTTCTTGAAGCAGCTTTTTAGTTGTACTAGAAAGCTGGTTCAATAAGCAATAAAACCGTTGTCACAAACGAAGCCTTAATATAGAAAATATGTTAATTAAATTCTACTTAAGCACATTTAATATTAATTAAAAATTTTAATTCAGGTTGATAAAGAAAAAAAATATTATTTTTAAAATTTCATGGATATTCATATATGTATCTGAATAACCCACGTAATTTGCATGATTAAGACACGGCAATTATGTCACTTTCATGATAATTGGAGAGATGTCCACCCATGAAAAACATGTTGATTAACATTTATGCAATGTTTACTTGATATATGCAAATTGCAAAACAAATAAGATTTTCTATAAAATGACAATACTCTACTTCAGCTCCCACTTTTACTTTCTACCTATTCCCGGCCCATTAAATGCCCGGTGTCAAACCAGAGTTCTTCTTAACATGATTTCTATAAGGGTTTTTTATTATAAATTAGGCATTCAATCTATTCAATATTTTTTCTCTATATATTTATTTTTATTTATTAAATAACTATTTTTAAAACAAATTTATTATAACATATTAACCTTCAAGATAAGTATTTATTTTTTTATTAAAAATTTATGAACAGTACATGAATTACATAATAGTTACTGTAGCCAGCACCTTCCGAGGCAACGTGGACGACCTTCCGAGGCAAATGTGTTGCGCTACACTGAGCGCAACACACTTCCTTTCCGCGTGAAGATATTTAAATCCTGGTGCATGGTCCACCAATCGTGCGGAGGCTCGGGGCGGGCGCGTCGATTACAAACAGCGCGCAGCATTGGTCGCGTTCCAACGCAACACCTACTGTTAAAAGGTCATTCGTGGCGGTGATTAAGTGGTGTTTTGGTGTTCGGTAGAATACTTGGGATCAAGAAGCTAGCTGTTACGCAGAAGGACCGTGGTGTTTCTGACTTGGTAGGGGAGGGTAGGAGATTAGGACTAGGTCGGCCTTCGGACGCAAAGACCGAATATGGATATGGCGCTGGCAGCTGGCAGCTCGCAGCTCGCAAGCTGGCAACCGAAGATTTTTTTTATCACTATTCAATGCACAATAGTAAGCAGTGGAGTAATTATTTAACTGAATAAAATTCATTCGATACACTTAGAAACTATTTTATCTATTTTTATATATTATTTGAACCCCTGATTTATTGTATTTTATTTTAGAATACCAATAAAATAAAAGTTCGAATCTTGATTTTTTAGGCATTCATTATTTGTTGATAAAGATTTTAAAATTTATTATTATTGAGGTCTTAAGTTCAAACTCTATTTTATTAAATGCGTGCATTTTACATGAAAGGGCTGTTTGGTTGAAGGCATATCAAAATTAAATAAATATATTTTAAAATAAAATTAATGTATTTAAAATACTTATCATTTTTTATTAGTTTCAAAAGAAATTCAAAGCTTTAATTTTTGGTATTTTGCTATTTTTTTGTTAGGATATATAATATGATTCATGATAAGCATGCGGAGTTGGTAAATTTATCATTTGAGCATGGGTGTCAATTATTGACATGACTCGATAATCTGATCCGAGCCCAACCCCAAAAATTTAGGTTATGTTTGACAGTTTAACAAATGGGTCATGTTTCAATTCTCGACCCTTTAACCTGAAACCTGAACTTGACTCGGGATTGACCCAGTTGCCAAGTGCCAACCAATGTTACCTGCCTCGAGTTGTTGCATCAGCCGCGACCTCAAACAGCAGAACGGTGGAGCAGCACTACCGCACCGGTCGCCCCATTCATTGCTGGTGCTGCACTACCGCACCAGTAGCATCGCACAGCCGCACTGTCGCCTCGCGTCAAACCCCCGGAGCCGCCCTGCCACACCGGTCACGTTGCACAGCCACCTCACGTATAACCTTGGAGCCGCATTGCCGCACTGGTCGCAACCTCACAGGCTCACAGTAACAGTCGCATCGCACCCCATAGTCGAAGGCTCTCCCAGGTCGGGTCTGGTCAACTCGATAACCCTCACAGGTCGGTTTTAGGTTGACAAACCTGACCCGTTCGTAAAACCGAATTGAGTTAATTAGTGTCAACCCGTTTACGGTCGGGTCAAGTCAGGTTCGACCTGAATCTAATGACCCAAATTGACACCCCTCCATTTGAGGTTATTGGTGAGTTCAAATGATGGTGGATTTATAGTGCGAGCATATGAAGGGTGTGCAAGCATTCTCCAATGAAGGATGTGTCACATAAATAGTCATGGATGTATTTGTCGCTGTGTTAGGAGATTTTGCTTGAGGAACGAGACAAGAGGTGTGAAAGTAAGGTCAGACACGAGATTTTGCTCAACGATGTACAACAAAGTCAAGCATGAAGGTGTTGCATGAGGAAGAAGACATCTCATATGTGTAATTTCATTGTGGCTTATTCTTTAATTTCACACATGTGTATTGGAAATTCTCTAATAAGATTAATTCTAAATAAATTGAAAATGAGGTATTAGGGGAATTTGAGACCTCTTAAGAAATTATTTTAAGCGTATTTTGCTTCCAATAAAAAAAAATTCAGAATCTCCGTGCTTCTTTTACAATACACCAAAAATAATTGTAATCAAATAATCCCTACAAAATATTTGATCCAACCTGAAAGTAATCTGCAATCAAATTGGAAATATTATGAAAGAATTCTTGATCATTTAGTTAAAAGAGATGATTGTGGCATTTTTTTGGGACAGCTTTTTTTATTTATTCTTAAAATAATTTTTTAGTTAAAAAATTAAAATTTTGAACTAGAAAATTATTTTAAGAACCAGTAAAAATTATTGGGCAATTTCTATAAGTGGGCTCATATACTTATACATATAAATAAAGTTTTGTACATTATAAGCTATCTAAAATTAAGCCAATAAATAAATTCGTGATCTATTTAAATATTAAATTATTATAATTTGGTTTATGTGGCATCTCAATTAATTTTGTATGAAATTAATTTGTATAGAGGCCGGGTATTTATTTTATTTTAATGATTAGCTGAAATAAAATAAATACACTTAAAGTATAAAAAAGGTCGTTGTCCCTAGTTTAAGTGGTGAAGTTCTCATTTTTTCTCGTTTTCTCATCTTGAGTGAAAAGAAGGGGTCTCTCGCTCTCTTGGAGAACACCGCTCTAAACTTGGAAGACCGAAAACCTTAATTCTGCATTTCAATGGATTCATGTACGCTTCCGAAAATTATTCTCGATGATTTGGCATGTGTTTTGGAGACGATCGAATTCCTTTTTTGTCTCCATTAAATCCTAACAAAAAAATCGTCTCAAACGAAGCCTATGTCTTTAAAATAAAATTTTGAATGATGCTTTTTATGATTTATTATTTTTATCTAAAATAAAAGAAGGAAAAATTGAATCTCACCTTCCAACTAATTTATGTTTGCAATATGATTGCAAGAGTTGTGTTGGGGTTAAGTTTCCTTTATTCATAGACGTTCATGAGCCTTACTGGCTGATTTGACTATTAGAAGAACGGTGGCACAATTTGTATAGTATGCTTTTGTAGCATTATTGTGAGCCTTTTATATTCATAATATTGAGGGGGTCCATCCTAGCTCTTTCATCAGCTCTAACAATGATTTGAAAAAAGAAGAAGGAATTGACATCAGTGTATTGCTGTACCCTCAAAAAGATATTATAGATAATAACTAAGATTAGGAAGATGTGTTTCATGCTTGCTCAAGAAATTTTTTTTTATTAAATTTCTTAATCATAATTTTTATGTATAATATTTGACTTATATTAATACAAAGCTTGCCAAATCTTAATTAGTTTGAACCTAAAAATGTCATATTTTATAACCTTTCATATTATTAAAAAGGTCATTGCTCCAAAGAATGGGCTATGCAACTTAAATATCTAAGGAAATACTTGTAAATCTAAATCAGAAGAAAAATAATTTAAGAAAATATAAAAAAAAAAATTGGGGCAAATTGGCCTAACTAGCCTGTTAATCTCAATATACTAGTGAACCAATACCCCTTCTTGCCTTACCTTCTTGAAGGAAGGCGTTGATACGAGAGGTGGTTGTAGGTGAAGATTAACCACAGTTGGTATCGTGTGAAAAAAATAACTCTTAACTTTTTTATAGTTTATTTTATTCTACAATAATAGTGGAGCTTATTTTGATGGAAAAAATTCATCTTCATAATAGTGGAACTTTAGTGCACCCTTTTACTAAAAATTCTAAATATATCATTGAATTTATCATTTTGACTGTGGTATAAGATTGATTACTTTCATAGCCGACAAAAATTAAAAAAAATTTACTATATATTCGCTAAGTAAAATCTATACATGATGTGTGGATGTTGGAATTTTTGAATTTTGATGGATGAGAATTAGATATATGAGAATGTAAAACTATATAACTAACGTAGAGGTGAATTATGACAGGAGATAATGTAAATGACTATGCTCCTTAAACGCATTAGCCCTGTCTACTAATTCTTTCGTTGTCCACTCATTAATAAGATGTTAGTTATGTTGCATCATCATCTAAAACTCTGAATTTGACCACCATTTTTTCAACTTTTCAATTGTTGACACCTTTTCACAATGTATAATAGAGCCATCATTGCTTCCCAACAATGCTTTGACATGATTTCAAAACCATTTTATGTCTCAAAAGCTTGTCCACCATTAGATTGTCAAGCTTATGGCATTTGACACTAGATTACCTTAGGGCTCGCCACATGGAACCCATTTAATTTTCTCACAATATTAATTATTTGCACTACATATGTTCCACAGCTGTGACGCCTAATAACCTAATGAAAGGAATTTATTCATAAACCTATAATTATACAACTCAACCATCAACAGAGACAACCAAAGCTATTATAAAATCTAAATAATACAACAATAATTTTTTTTCTATTTCAACAAAATATATATACACTAATTCAATTAACTTTGAATTATCTATATATTAGAGCAAAAAAATGGATTATGAAATTAATACCTCAAGTTAATAAGACTAAGAAGATTCTGTTTCTACACTTTTCTACTCTATCATGCTCTTCCTTTTGCTTTAAATATTAGAATTAAAGAACTGGGTGAGCACAACCAGCTTAATAGAATTTCTTTCATGACATATCATAGATATCAATATTCAAACTAAAATACTAAATTATAATATAATTAAAAAGCTGTAACTTATAAGAAATGAATAAAATGCTAGTAAAACATAATTTTTTAGTATTTATGTATATACTTGATTTCAAGGTTATGATCACATATACTTGCGAAACCACTTCACAAGGGTTTTCAAATACATTACACAAGAGTTACTTTTCATTCATACTTGACTTGCTCCCTTCGATCATCAATGTTATACAAAGATTCAAAGATTTTTAATATTTAATTCATAATAGCATTTGTATTGACTAATTAGGATATAAACATATGCAATGCAACGAGTATAATACAGATGTTATGATGCTTGCTTATAACTCAACTTCCGCTTATGCTTCCCTTTAATCACTCACACCCGATGGTAACAAGTGGGGCAGAAATAAAAACTAAAATATAGTCACATAACCTCCCACTAACTACTTTTAGCAAGTAGGGACATAATGCTTCCTACATCCACCTTGAATAAATGGGGCCATAACATAACATATATGGCCCATGTAAAATATCAGAAAGAACTCTTTTATATATCAAAACATCTCCAATGTTATGTCATGCAATCATAATTGTAACATTAGATCATTTATGATTTTAATACAATATTTAAATGTTATACAATTGTCATAATTACTAGTAAAAGCCATATTACATGTATAATATTATATTCATTAAAATTTTCTTTTTTAATTTTAACTACAGTGAAAAATTCATAGATTTACTTTAAATAAGATTTATAAAATAATTCACAGTGATACGAAATGGAAGATATAAGTAGACAGATTGATATGACATAATACGCCAATGGTCAGAATGTGACGACTTCTTATATGAAAGCCACATGATAGATGACTTATGATACGACACTGATTCCTGAAAATATGATTAATATAATTGAGACTGAATCCTATAGAGTTGACCTACATGATTGGATATAAGGGAAAATATCATAGGAAGCTAGATATCTTGTCTTGCTTATATTATTTATAAATTCATATGTCATTAGTATATGTGATATATTAGATAAATGACTTAATATGATATGATGTGTATATGATATATGATCTATTGATACAGACAAGTCATATGATTGATGAAATGGATACAATAGCATACGAGTCACATGAATATATGTCATATATAGTGCACATTGCATATAATGTTGATATTAAAAGACATGCATATGCATACAACACTATAGATAGTTAGATACGACTGATATTATTGATAAGATTGATACCTAAAATAAAGCACTTATACGAACATAATATATATGTATTGCATAGATATTGCATAACATGAATATGATAAAGGAACATATAAACTATTTTGTAACTGAAAGGTATAAAAGTGTGAACTTACCAATCCTTACCTTGGTTATTGATCATTGATCAATATAGCTATATTGAATTTATTGCTCATATGATATGACACTATTCATAATTGGTTGTTTCTTGCTTTATAGTGATATATTCATATTGATATGCTCAAACTCGTGTTGATTGAATGATTAAATGCATAAATTTTTCAGTGCATTTTATTGAATTGTTTTAGTTTATGGTAATCTACTAAACTGTTAGCTCACTTTATGATTTTTTTATGTTTTAGAAATAAGTCAGAATCGAGTGGAGTGAAACATATCAGACTTTCTCATGTTTTGTTTTATTTTTGTATTTTGGTTCATTTTTTTGTACTCAAGAGTTTATAATGATAAGATGATATATTATTAGTTCTCATGGCTATTGTAAATAAATTTTGAGAAATGAATACAATTGTCTATTTTGATGAACATAATTTATAATTGCCTGCACTGATGATTATATTAATTAAAAGAAATTAGTTGCTATGGTTAATTAATTAATAGATAAACAAACAATTCTTTTAAAATTAGACACTAGGGATCGAGTTACAATCCAAATGAGTTTTAGTGCTGCGGCGACGTCACTCGATGCAATAACACACTCAATTCCTCCACCCACCCTCACCTGAGAGCTTAATGTTGCACTGCTGCCAATCTCGATGTCATAACACTCCTAGAGCTATTTGATGACTTCAAATTTCCCTTCTCCAATCAAATTCTTAATTTAGCAAGGCTCCCTTAAACACAAAAAAGACTTATAATTGTTGATTAAATTAAAATTGTGAATCATTAACATAAATTACTTGGGTTTTGGCTCTATGTATTACAGTAGCAATCTCATTATGTCTATCTGCATAGGGGAGGGGGAGATATGATATTTAATATTTGGGCACTAGTTGTCCATTTATCTTCTCTCTTCTCTTATATCCTTTAATTAGCTACTTGGTCATGCATGACACGTAAATGTGTACAATCTAAATATATTTATGTTTATAAAATAATTTATTTATGGGCAACACTAAGGTTCTATTTATAAAAATATTAGAATTATACATAATTTAAAAAAATTATAAATTGATATTATATAAATATATAAATTAATTTAATGCTCCTAATCCTAATACATTTATTAACTTTGCTCCTTTTAAAAATTTTGCCTCGCATTTATTACTATTAAACATTATTAATAATTTTTTTGACAGCCCTAAATAAATCACTTGCGGCGTCTTCCACACCAAAGATTCTGCTCTTGGCTATTAGTCTCCACGCCGATTTAATGCGACAGCTGGCTAGATTTGGATGAAACCTGGCGCCTAGCTACACAATAGGTCACACCCTCTGACTTGATAGATGCAAAAGGCATCCTCGTCGTTTGCGAAGAAGGCTGCTAGCAGGGAAGGCAATTTAGTTCAGGAACGAAGGTTTCGCCGCCACGTGGGAAACCCTCTCGCCAGAATAAAAGGAGAATATTTTCACCCCATCACCCACACGCGCGAGCTGGATGCCGACCTACAATACGCGTGTCACTGCTATCATCTCCAGAAGCTTCTTCGCCGGCCACGTCGCCCCCCTTGTTTTCGCACGTACCGGCACATTAAGCTCCAATGTTTCCATACGGCGGCGGACCCGCCAGCCGGACACGTCGTTGCCCGTGCCAGCCCTACCCATGCCTGCCCCGTCGACCCTGAGATAAATTGGAAGGAGTGGGCCAACTGTCCATTTCGGTGGGGCCCAAAGAGTTGATGGTCAACGAAAGACTCAACGCTTTGCTGACCGAACGAGGTCTAGGCGGCTGGCGTTCCTGGTGTTGGGTCCAAGTCGGCTGCGTGACTGCGTCAGGGTTTCTGGAACGAATTCTCTCGTCGGCGTCGGTTTTTTTTTTTTGTAAGAAAATATGGGCTTGGCCCGTATATAAATATGAAAAGAAATTACATAATAAGAAAAACATCAAAGCTAGCCACACCTTAAAAAAGACTAGCACAAAAAAACTCAGGATTACACATTCACATTACAAAAAACCCAGAACCACAAAACCAATAGCTCCGAAGCCAAAAAGAAGCCTAGACTTAGGGAATATATTCGAAAACATCACAAAAGCTCAGACCCTTGGTTGCCCGAAGACAGTCTAAAGAGGAGTATGATCATGGAGCCTCATCATCGTCGCAAGCAAGGCAAAAAAATAGTTTATATTATTATTTTAATATTAAATTATTTATGTTTTAAAAATAGAAAGAGCTAAGTTACAAATTAAGTTCTATTTTCACAATTTCAATAATTATTTAGAGACGGGATCTGAAGGCGCGAAACGCTCTGCTAGGGTTTCCTTACCCTAGCTTCCCCGCCGTTTCTCTCTTCCTCTTCCCAGCCTCCGCCTGGGGGGGGGGTTTCTATGGCCTCCTCCTTCGCCTACCTCTCTAATTTCCCTCCCCTGCCTGGTGCTCTTCCTCCGGCCCTTGCTTGTCCTGTGGGATTGAATTTCGTTTCTAATCTCACCAAGGAAGATCCGGTTGCTGAAGAGTTTTCGCTTTCCTTCGTACCTCCGGCTACGAAAGTCCCCTTCTCTGCTGATGAGCTTGCTAAGGGTGTTCCTGATTGGGGATCTTCGCTCGTTGGTTACTCTATCGGGCCAAGGCCGACCTATTTGAGCCTTCTCAACTCGGTCAAGAAAGCTTGGAACCCGAAGGGAGACGTGGAGCTCCTCTCGCTTAATGATGGCTTCTTCCTGTTCAAATTTTCTTCTCCGGAAGACTACCAGCTTGCATGGTCGGGTGGTCCGTGGTTCTTCTTCGGGCGCCCTTTCATTCTTCAAAAGTGGACTCCAAAGTTCAAGCCCCAACGAGATGAGTTTTCCTCTATCCCTATCTGGATAAAAATAGTTGATTTGCCCCTTGCTGTATGGAACCCCGCTGGAATATCTAAAATCGCAAGCTTTGTTGGCCACCCGCTTGCGGTTGACTCCCTCACTGCCAGGAAAACTCGGTTAACATTTGCCAGAGTATGTGTCCTCGTATCTTGCAAGTCTTCTTTCCCTGATGAGATTCCCGTTTCTCTGGATGGAGATGATGTCTCCTTAAAAGTCTTATACGATTGGAAGCCTACCCCTTGTTCTGGCTGTGGCTCGATTGTCCATCCCTCCACTCTTTGCCACATCAATCCTCAACCTAAAACTACCCAAGCTCCTCCCAGAGGTAGAAGCTCTTCCCGCCACCGTACTCCACGTCCTCCACCTCATAAACCGCCCCTTCCTCCACCCAATCCTCCCAATCCACCACCTCTGTCAAATAATCCGACCACCCCCACTCCCGGCTCTCTCCCTACCACTATCCCTATTACTGGCCTTACTTCGGCTTTGACGACTTCCTCCCCTTCTGAGAGGTTGCTTACCTCTGCTCCCCAACAGTCTTTGCCCCAAAACCAAATTATCTCTATTCCCAATCTAAACTCGCCTAATGAGGAGGCCTCTTCCTCCTCAGACATCCCACCTTTTATTCCACCCACAAAATCTGTCTCTTCTTCCCCCATTACCTCCACTACGAATTCCTCTGCTCTGTTTCCAGTCACTTTACCAGCTGACCCCCTTGTTACTTCCCCCAATCGTTTTGAGATCCTTCAGCCTGAAGAGCCTCCAGATGACTCTTCCTCCATTCCCACCACCGACTTTGCCTCCTCCAAGGGAATGCGGCCACCCAGTGATAAGCCTACTAGCCAGAATGTTACTAAAGGGAAGAGTGCTAAGAAGACGCGCTCGTCCAACTCAAAGTCGAAATGACCCCCTCTCCTATTGCTTGCTGGAACGTCAGGGGATTTTCTTCTCCGGATAAAGTTCTGGCTTGTAAGAAACTGGTTTCGAATTTCCATCTTGACTTGATTTGCATCCTTGAAGCTAAAGTCTCTGTTGATTCGATGGCTGACCCGTGGTTTGTCAACTCTCACAAAGTTTTTCCCATTGAGAATTCTTGCGACAACTTCAACTGTTCTTCCCCAGGCAGAATTTGGATAAAATGGAATCCTCAGCGATTTCTTTTTCTCCTCTTATTATTTCCCCTCACTCATTCATGGAGTCATCTCCTTTGGATCTTTGGCTCCTTTTCTAGTTTCCGTCATTTATGCTGCTAATACCATTGCTGACAGAGCTCCCTTATGGCAACAATTACACAATCTGGCAGAATCGATCACCTCCCATGCGCCATTTCTTGGGGGGATTAACTGTTGTAGAAGGGGTTGAAGATGAAATCTGTGGAGATATCCCTTGCAACACCATATGTCTGGAAAGCTAATTAAATAGCTGCGGTTTTTCAGTTCTGGTCGCGTCTGAGCTCCCCTCTACTGGTATTGTTTTTTTCACTTTGCTTCAATCAACGGGCTGCGGCCCGATTCATATTCAGAACTTGACAGCCGATCTCGTCAATTCTGCCTGGCTTGATCACTTCCCGGTCTTCTTTGTTATAGAATTGAGGACCCTAATTGTTCAGACCACTCGCCTTTAGTGCTTCTTCCGGGCTCTCTTCTTTTAAACCTAAGGCCAGATTTCAGTTTAAAAACTATTTAGGTTAAGCTCAATAAGTTTTTGGGAAATGATCTGATTTCTTAGTCCGAATGTGTTGCTTCTCACCACCAAGGGAACCCTATTTACGTCTGCTCTCTACTCTATTGTTGAGAGACTTGAAAGCGTTTTCAACTCAAGAGGAAGAATTGGCTAATTCTTCCTATCTTTTCTAAGTAGTATTAAAAGAGCTCCAAAGAGTTTGCACATTAGAGTGTTATTTTCACAACTAAATCACAGAACTCCTCTGGATCAACTAATCTAAATGCTTACACATTGACAAAATAAATTCGTCAGAACGACCGACCCAAGACGGTCCCGCCCCGCACCGAGCCGCGACCAGCACTAACGAACTAACCAGGACTCTAGCTTTGGAATTTGCGTTACTTGAAGCCTGAAATCTTCCAAATATCATACACAACAGACCCAGAGCTACTAAAAATAATCAAAGTGCAGGCGGAACAAATCATCTATATTTTTTCTTTCTTTTCCCTCAAAACAATCATTCATACAAATACAGTACAACTGCGCTACAGAAAACACAAGAGAAAGAGCCTATGACTGTTACAAAAAATCAAAAAGTAACAAAAGTACCTATCACAGATCAGACTCTGAAACCTCTAGTCCAAAACCTCCTCCCATTTCCCAGCAACCTGAAACACACATCCCAGAAGCAAGAGTTGAGCTCTAACAGTCTCAGCCATAGAAGCAATAAACCCAATCAAACTTCTCAGAATTCTCAAAAAACCATAAGTCACATCAGACAAAATCCGTCAGGAAATCAGAAGTTTCAGATCATAGCGGAACAGAGCAGGATCGTATCAAGACATCACTATCAGAATCATATCATACAGATTCGGAAAGATTCATACGATAGTCGTACTCGTACGAGAATATCAGAATCAGATTTGCTTAAGGAAACGATATCGGAAATCATAACTTATATCAAATCAAGAATATCAGATATTTAATTAAATAGCTAAACTAAACTAAACAGAATCAAGCTACGTGATTTCTGACCCTTATGTCTCCCTTGTGCTCAACTGCACCCCAGAAATTCTCCTAGAGTAATTAATTAGCTAAGGCTAAATGTGCTCACAGGCACCAGAATAACAGAATTCATTCGGATCCGGAACAGAAGCAGGATATATTTCTCCAACTTGAGACTCATCTAAGTTTTCCCCAGACACTAACATGAATCTGCATAGGATCCAGGCCGCCTTATAACCTCCTTTACTATAGCATATACATATAGCATATTAATTCAGAAGAAATCCGCGGACAAATTAGAAATGCAGGACAAAAATCGGGCAGCAAACAAACGCACGTGTAACGAAATTTACACAAATATTTTTTCCTGAAAGATCACAATCAACAATTGCACAGAATATAGAGTAACAACATTTCAGAAAGATATTATTCTACTGTGCCACAGCATTAACATAATCACACAGAAAAATACAGACGGAATAAAGACGTCGTCAAATCAAAACGATCCGGACCACAAAATTCTCCAGAAATAATATCTTCAAATGTGCAACACCCGGCACGTCAAAACAATTCAGAAAGTTACGCAGGTTAAAAACGAAACCGATCAAAAAGATACGGACGAAAATCACTCTAACGGAAACAAAATCGCGAACAGAAAATACGCCAAAACACGACGATTTTTGAAAAATTGAGAATAGGCGAAATGGCTCGCCTTGAACCTCTCGCGTACAGCAAATTCTCTTGATCAATCTCTTTCGGACGAAAACAGCTCGAGCGTCGCCAATAAATCCCACTTTTTCCAACTTTTTCCTGTCGTTTTCTCTCTCCTCAGCTTTTTTCTCTCCTCTTCAAAACTCATCTCATTTCTATATATATCAGACCTGATCGTCCGTGGCCGAATCCGAGGCTTCGTTCCCTGGGACCGACTCAGCTATAAATGAACTTCGTCAAGACGAGATTAATTATCGTCTAAGGACCGACTTGGGCTCTGAAAAATTTTTGTCCAGACCGATCCAACATTTCGTTCCAGAGGACGAACCATACAAGGACAGAACAGTTTTCTTCTTGAAACAACTTTGTTACCCGATCGTCCCCGACGATCCAACCTTTGTCCTGGGACCGCAACCTGGAGCAAAATCTGATATTACAATCTCCCAACTTCAAAAAAAATGTCGTCGTCCTCGACCATTTGTCCAATCCCAAACTGCGTCCAAACAAGTACTGGGTGTTACGACATGTCTCATTCGCTCCGACTGCTTTCTCCAAGTCGCTCCGTGTAGTACGCTGCTTCCACTGGACTTATAAACCATCGGAATCTGATTTACTTCGCGTAGCTATCGAAACGTCGTACGCCAAAAATGCGAAACCTGTCTTCTTCAACTTGTATACGCACAGAGATTCTCCTGAATCTACAACCGTCATCAGCTGAGTACCTTCTTTCCAGGACAGTCAGATACCCACCTTCCTCAAAAGTTGGAATACGTGAAACACATTTATGCACTCGGGCATCGAATCAAAAAACGAACAGGTCTGCTAGCAAATTTCCCAATCCTTTCTAGAATTTCAAAAGGTCCAACACTCGACCTTTGGACTACAGCTTGCTACCTTGATCAGAATCTGCTCACACCCCTTCATCGGGCTGACTTTGACAGTACACAAAGTCACAACTTGAACATTCAACAGAAACATGTGCTTCTGATATGATAATACTTCCGCTATCGATCCTGAGCGGCCCTTTCAATCTTTCTTTAAATCAAAACTGATCCTCTCTGAGCAGTTTTATCACAAAAAGTGAACACCCAAAGCCTGTCTTATCTCCGACTTCCGTCAATCAGCTAGGGCAAAAGGAGTCAGCACTTCCGGCCATACAGAGGCCTCATTACGGATGCCGATACCGATAACTGGACCTGGAAGTACTTATTGTAAGTAAACTCAATCAAGGGATAGTGATCTTCTCCAAGCTTCCGCACAACGTCCAAAACCAGAAGCCTCAATAGAATCTTCCCAGTAACCTGAATAGTTCTCTCTTAGAACTTGTCCCATCTCCACGTTTGAGGAGTGAAATAGCTAGTACTGAAACTGCCAGTTTAGTAGCCCAAGCCTTGCTGAATACCCTTCCAGAGCTCTTGAAAGTAAACACGTTCCGCTCTCGATCAGAAACAATCACTCGAAGGCATACCACCATCAAGTCTGGTATATCTCCTTAACATAATACCTGTGCCAAGCGTCTACTGAATCATTGCTGTACTGATCGAGAAAAGAAAATGGGCGGACTTTCAGTCAATCGATCTACAAATCACCCAGATGGCATCATGTCCTTGCCGTTGATCGGAGGAAACACCATCGCAAAGATCCAATCGTCCACCTTCCTTACGCCACCTTCCACTCGAGGGATAGACAACGACTGCAACAGTGCCACCCTGGTCTCTGGCGGATGCCTCTGGCCTTCACCAACTGACAGGCCCTGCGCATCTCAACAACAAACTCCGCACATCCTTTCTCATCCAGGCCAACCAGAACAAACAGCTTTCATACCGTCATACATCTACCACTGCCTGGATGGAAATAGCTATAGCCAGATATGATGAGACTTCATACAGAATCTCCTGTTCCAAAATCTCCCACAAACACAGGTAAACACCACAAACCTGCTTTGCCAAGAAACATAGCACCATAAATCAAGATAATTCAAAAAGTTTCAACGCGAGGCTTACCGAATCCATCTGAGCAATCAAACTTGAATAGTCAGAATTCTGGACTTATAGCTTCTTTGAATCTTGTCTCCACAAGTCAGACTGAATACTCAGATGAGCCAAATCCAAACCAATTGGAGGAAATCGACCCTCCAACTGGCAAGCGTTCCATGTCTCGAATTCAGAAATTCATCAGAGAGTAAAGGCTGAAATACCTGAATAATATCAGAAGACTTTCGCTGCTCAGAGCTCCTGCTACTACATTAGAGCCTTCCCAGGCTGATACTGGAATAGTCAGATCATAATCCTTGATACAACTCGCAGCCACCTTCTCCTGTCTCAGATCAGATCCTTCTGATAAAATGTACTTCAGGCTCTGTATAAATCCAGTAGAATCTCACATCTTGACGCATACAAGGTCAATGAACGCCAAATCTTCAATGCAAATACCACTCTGCAGGCTAATTCCAGATCAATGTTGTCGGGTAATTTTTCTCATGTGGTCTTTTAACTGTCGAGCAAAGCATAAAATTACCTAAACCATGGCTGGCATCAGTGACAGCATCTCAGTCCTTTCAGCTGACAGCATCACTGAACACCTTGAAATACCTTCCGTACCTGACGGAAAGGTAACAACTGGAGCTTGAAGTCAAACAAGTCTATTTCAATCTCTGAAAACTAGCTATCACACTCCGGTGTCGTCACAAATAAAACAGCACTCGCACTTTGCCGTCAGTCTGTCAGAGGCGTCAAATTGTGAAAATCCCTTCACAAATTTCCTATCAATATCCGGATCATGCCCAAGATAACTACGTACTTCAAATACCGTAGTCGGCCTCTCGCCACATCCAGCAACTGCGCTGAAATCTTTTTTGGGGATCACACAAAATAGCCTTCTCCGCTAACTCACATGCCCCAGAAGAAGACAATTTGCTCCTCAGCACAAGAACTCCACTTAGGAGAACTTGGCATAAACTTGATGCCAGCCTGCAAAGTGCTCCAACACTGCAATGCTCACAGTGTCTGGTCTATCGCTCATCCTCAGATCAGAAGCAGAACTCATACCAAAATATCGTCGGATGAAGACGCATTCAAAAACTTGATCAAAATACTCCCTGAATACTCGTGGTTTTCATCAGATCCACTGAAAATAGCAGGCGCGTTGTTTTACCCCAAAAGGCATATAACCAAGAAACTCATATATGCACCCGTACCGCAGTACATGAAAACTGTCTTCACCACACATCAACACTTCCTTCAGCCTTCACCTCGCTAAATATCCGGATCTCAAACAATTCTTCGAAAACGCCAGAAAGATCCAGAAAGACATGATCGAACAGTCATCGATTCGAGGCAAAGGAACTTAGTATCTTTGATCGTCGACCTTGTATTCAACTTCTCTGTAATCAAATACACATACGGAGTGTCCCATCCTCTCCTTCTTCACAAAACCAGAACAGGTGCGTCCGCCAGGGCGAAAACACTAGGGTACAGCGAACAAAACGTGCTGTGCAAACCAACTCCTGAAGCTGGAACTTTGTCAAACTCAGAAGTGTCTTTCCGGTGCATCCTGTACGAATCTTTTTGAGTATAGGAGCGGGTGTACGTGGCAAAATATCGATAGAGAGAACTCCAACATCTCTATCCGGAGGTTAAACCCAAACCAAACTCCATCAGGAAAAATATCAGCAAACTCCCCGTACTACTGGGAGTCTCAGAGACAGAACCAACCTCCAGGTCAGAGTCCCCGCCACCGAAGCTGAAAAATACTGCACATCCTTATCTGTCCACATCTTGCGCTTACCTCCAACACAGAAAAGCAGACTGGAAGAGAACACCCCGTAAGCCCTGGAAATACACATCGGCTCTTCCAGCCATAAGCAGAACTTCACTTTGCTATCTTCAGACAATCAACTGAGGACTTTTCATACTGACTCAGCCTAATCCATACCAAAGAACATCATTTCATTAAAGACAAACATCGGGTACAAAATCAGACTCTGCTTTTCCACTTTTGCCAGGAAATGTCAACCTTCACACAAGCAAAACTTATCGAGCAACTCAAAGGATTTCCAGCCGGGGTAAAACACAGACAGAGAAACGACCAGTAAAACCATCGAATTCCAAACTGTAAAGTCTCAAAAAACACCGCTGTCGGACAGAAAAGAGTGACTGGCTCCAGAATAAAAAAAAAACCGAGACAGGGCATGATCAGAAATGTAAATTGTACCTGTGCAACAACATCGGGGAGACATCTGAGCCTCATGCTGAACTTCAAGCTGTAAAACTCGGGGGCTGCACTGCGAGCTGGAGCTTGAGACAAACAGATACTAGTGGAGTTCTCTCTGACTAACTCGGTGGTCTCCGTGGTACCAGAACTAGAACCACCACCCTCTATCCAGCAAATCCTCAGGACGCGGGAGGAACAGCGCTCGGTCTCGCGCTGCTGAACCAGCAGGTCTAGACAAGAGCCTCTCAGATCGAAACTCAGAACGCTCCGATCAAGATCCCCATCTGTGCGCAACTGCTGCAATCCAACTGTCCTGGCTGAACCACTTAGCGAAGCACGGTACCAGCCGATCCTGTAGCACTGGCCAAGAGTGTCTAGGTCGTCCATAGCTCTGGCACAACAGGTGCGTACTAACAGAACCAGAACTCGTCGTAACTTAATGCACAGCTACCAGACGACCCTGCACTCGCTCCTGGAGTCCTCCATATCCCCAGACAGATCCAGATATAAAGTTCTGTCTTCCCAGAGGGAACCACTGCAGATGCCTCGCCTGCAAACTTTCTTGCGCCTACTCGCAAGTCCACCGCCTGCTGAGTAAGCTGTCAGTCGTTCTCTATCAGATGGAGCTCGCACTTTCACACAATTCAAAGCTCAGAGAAGTCAGTTGATTCGAAATAGTAATCAGGGGCCGCCTCAAAGTATCTCGTTAAATCCCATTCATAAATCTGTAGCAGCCATCTCAAGACAGTAGTGCCTAGCCAGCTGCGAGCATACCTGGCTAATGTAGTAACTCAGCCTCGTACGTCGCATCACCGTCTTACTCCCTGAACACAAGCTCAGAGAAACTCTCCGTGCACCTCTGCTCATCTGGGCTTGACACGTGCAGAAGGGGGAAACAAATCAGTCTTTAGACGAACACCTGCAGTGACTCTTCCCAAGTAATCAAAGAGTTCTAATCTGCCTGAAATCTGACTGGCTTGCTGGCCCTTCCACCACCAGTGTTCAGCGCTCTCCATCCAACAAAACACTGCTACACGAGGGACCTTTCCTATCCGCAGCGGACACTGGCATTTCCGTCGAAAGGTCTTCCTCCAAGCCTTTCTCAAACCACTTCCTCGGCTTGCTCTGGCTCAGACCCAGCGCTCCTCAAATCTCAGAGGTTTTCCACCTCAAAAACAACTGCAGATCCTTATCATACTGCCCTCAGATTGTGCGGTAGAAGCGCTTGCTACTGAAGTTCTCGCGCTCATCATCTGAGCAACAAGTGTCAGCAATACTTGAGACAATGTATTAGCACCGGCCAACCTGGGCTGGTACTCCCCACTGCGTGCTGCCTGACTAGCACTCTGCCCGTCTGTCAGTGTCTGGGTTGGCTGATCCATCACAGTAAAAATCCACGAAAATCCGGAAAACTATTCACAAACAAACACAATAAAAAGCCGAACAAACCAAAAACTACCCCAGACAGACTCACTACAGAATCCATTCCATATAGCTTGTCTTAACAAATCCAA